TGCTGCTCAGGGTAATACTACCTTATTAGCCAAAGCAGCACAGAGGGGATGGACTGCAGGGGTCTCTTGTTTACCATTAAAACATTACAACATTAAAAACAGTTTAATGCTGAAAGAAATGATGGCACCAGGGGACTCCAGACACTATAACCAGTTTAATGAGATGAAGCAGATAGAGTGCCTACGGTGTCCCTTTAAGATAGATGTTAAAGTGTTCATGGCTAGAATATATTCGCATAAAATGCATCATTACTTGCTTTTAGTACTATTAAATGCATGAACTTTATGAAAAAAGCAGCTTTAAGAAATTGTCCATTTCCTGACCACTCAGTATTTTCCAGCATAGAGAGATACAGAGAATTGTTTTACAGGGAAGTGCAGGTAAACCCTCATACAGGCATTCTCCTGCTTTCCTACACCACATCAACAGCATGTGACATGATTGCGCTGGATAGGAGGTAAGTACTTGCTTAATAGAGGAGATATATATATATATACTGTATATAATTTATCTCAGCAACAAATTATATATTCAGAGGGAAGAGTGCATGATTGGCAGGTGACAGGCTCACTTTAAGTCTTTGTGCAGTTCAGACACCTACCTTGTTTGTGGGTTTTAGTAAAGCGGAATGCATCTTCAGTTCTACATTTCATTCAGATAATTTCCCACTCATCATAGGAACAGACATTATTACTCAAAAAGACAAATCTAGATTATGGTTGGTTTCATTTCCTCAAACAAAACAAGCACGGGTACTGCTGCCTCCTACGAAAAATACTAGTCATTATCCATCATCAGCAGAAGTGTCCACTGTCCAACTCTCTCTTTACAGTGTGCCTCACTGACCATGTAATCCTGTGCTCTGCCCACTACAATGTGCCCCTGGCTATATAACCCCATGCTTTGCCCCTTACAGTGGCCCCTGGCTCTGTAACACCATGCTCTGCCCCTTATGGTGCACCCTGACTATGTACCCCATCTTCTGCCCCTTACAATGTGCTCCCTGACTATGTACAATATGCTCTGCCTATTACTGTGTGCCTACTGACCATTTACACCATGCTCTGCCCCTTACAGTGTGCCCCCTGACTATGTACACTATGCTCTGCCTCTTAAAGTGCCCCTTGACTATGTACCCATCTTCTGCCCCTTACAGTGTGCCCCCTGACTGTGTACTCCATTATCTGCCCCTTACAGTGTGGCCCCTGACTATGTACACTATGCTCTGCCTATTACAGTGTGCCTACTGACTACGTACCCCATGCTCTGCCCCTTACAATGTGCCCACTGACTATGTTCCCCATGCTCTGCCCCTTACAGTGTGCCCCCGACTATGTACCCCATGCTCTACCCCTTACAGTGTGCCCCCTGACTATGTACTCTATGCTCTACCCCTTACAGTGTGCCCCCTGACTATGTACCCCATGCTCTACCCCTTACAGTGTGCCCTCTGCCTATTACAGTGTGTTCCCCATGCTGTGCCCCATATGTACCCCATGCTCTATCCCTTACTGTGTGCCCCCTGACTATGTACCCTATGCTCTACCCCTTACCGTGTGCCCCCTGACTATGTACCCCATGCTCTGCCCCTTAAGGTGTGCCCACTGACTGTTTCCCATGCTCTGCCCCTTACAGGGTGCCCCTGACTATGTACCCCATGCTCTGCCCCTTACAGTGTGCCCCCCTGACTATGTACCCCATGCTCTACCTGTTACAGTGTGCCCCCTGACTATGTACCCTATGCTCTACCCGTTACAGTGTGCCCCTTGACTATGTACCCCATGCTCTGCACCTTACAATGTGCCCCCTGACTATGTACCCCATGCTCTGCCCCTTACAGTGTGCCCCCTGACTATGTACCCCATGCTCTGCCCCTTACAGTGTGCCTCCTTACTATGTACCCCATGCTCTACCCTTTACAGTGTGCCCCCTGACTATGTACCCCATGCTCTACCCCTTACAGTGTGCGTCTGCCTCCCTGGCTATGTAACCCCATGCTCTACCCCTTACAGTGTGTTAAGGCCTCCCTGGCAATGTTATCCCATGCTCTGCCTCTTACAGTGTGCCCCTGACTATGTACCTTATGTTCTGTCCCTAAAAGTGTCCCATTGTCGAGATGCACATATAACCTGTGCTCTGTCCACTACAGTGTGTCCCTGGCTATGTATCCATGCTCTGCCCCTTACAGTTTGCCCCTCTATCCACGCCCATGTAAACCTGCACTCTGCCTTATACAATGTGCTCCCTGGCCATGTAAGACAATGCTCTGCCACTTACAGTGTTCTCCTTGGCAACGTACCCATGTGCTGCTGTTTACAGTGGGCAGCTTCCCTCCTTGGCTCTACATTAAGCCATCCTCTGCCCCTTAGAGTGTGCCCCTGCCCATGTAACCCTGTGCTCCGCCCACTACAATGTGCCCCTAGACTATGTACCCCATGATTTGCTCATTACAGTGTGTCCCTGCTTCCCTTGATATGTAACCCCTTCCCCTACCCCTTACAATGTGCCTCCTGGCTATGTACCCCATGCTCTGCCCCTTACAGCATGCCCCTACTTCTATGCTCATGTAACCCTGTGCTATGCCCTCTACAACGTGACTTTGGATATGTAACCAAAAGCTCTAACCCTTACTGTGTGGCCCTGCCTCCCTGCCCATTTAACCACAAGCTTTGCCCACTACAGTGTGCTCCCATCTTCCTAGCTATGTAACTCCAGAAGCCACCTAAACTGTGGTTTTAACACTATAGGGTCAGGAATATATGTTTGTGTTCCTGACCCTATATTGTTCCTTTAACCCCTTAAGGACACATGACATGTGTGACATGTCATGATTCCCTTTTATTCCAGAAGTTTGGTCCTTAAGGGGTTAAAGATTGCAGCATGTAAATCTGCATACAACAATATTAGGGTAAAAGACAATGCAGATCACTCCCTGGGATTGGTGACATACCACCCTGGGAACTGCTGGCAAGCCTGCATTCCTGGCCATGTTTACAGTGTGTTCATTTTATGGGAAGATGCTAAAGCTCACAGCTCCTGTGATGTACTCTCTGTGGCCCAAAACATTTATTTTTTTAACTTTTTTATTTTATTTTGAAAATACAATTTTATTTATCTTGCTTGATGTAGAAATGCAGTATATACATGAAGCATTAAAAATTGTACAAGTATAGTGAGTGAGAGTAATGATAAAGTATAACAGTTTACCGCTGACTTCATTTGATTTCCATTTTAAACATAACAAAGAAATCATTGCAAAACAAGCTCTGCTACCCCTGCAGATCCCACCCACCACAGCCCCCTATTTATTAATTTAAAACAGTTTATGATTTACAGGTATCAAGAACAAGATACATAGGAGAGGCTTCTGTGTCCACTCGAAATTAGTTTCATGTAGCACCTGGATGGCAAGCATCATATACTCAGGCTAAACAAAAACTGAGCTGACCTACAATGATTTTAATACTGCCACTCCTTCTTCATAAACCATGATATACAGTATTCCCTCCTTGTTTCACAGAATGTGATCTAAAAGGAAAAATAGCCTGGTATATGGAATTTTATATATGCATTTATTTTAGAAGTGTAATATGTCCCTATCCCCACAAGAGGGTGATGTTATCCAGTTGTAATGTGTAGTAGATACTGGAGGAGCAGAAAGGTATGAGATATAGGTGTCCTGTTCCTATATGTAGATTTCTATTAACTGCCCACACAGCTTGAGTGGCACAAATTGTAGATTGTTTATGGTACTGTCAGCTTAGCTCCCAAAACTCCTTTTTTAGTTGTAGATTCCCATCCCTAAACCTAGTTTATTTCTAGCTGGGGAGTGAGTTTTCTATTCCCTCTATCCAAATGCACAGGGAATGTGTGACAGAGCCGTGGGCATTTAATAGTACCACAATTGCTGTATTAAACATTCTAGCTTCCTGGAATTTCCCATATTTTAACAAAATTTAAAAACATATAATAGATACCAGCTCTAGTAACAACAACTTTCAAAACACTATAATAAACACAAATAAAACAACATATGTGTGGTGTATATAGCAAGCAATATGATGTATATAGCATGCATTATAAAATTAATAATCCTCTATTAGTGCTATAAGTGAGGAAACACATTAAGCTTATATGAATAAGCAATCTTCAGTGAGATATCAATCCAATAATGATGTAACCAATATCAGCAGAAATTATTCAGAAATCTTCAAGACTTTAATCACTTTTTAAAAACATAGAAACAAACAAAGGGTGTTATGAATAGAATGCTTGAAAAAAACCACTCACAAACACAAAGGCACGTTAATAGGTCCCAAAGACCAGCTCAAATGTCGAGGGTGATGTCCCAGAGGTTATTCACCTCCTTGCTTCAGGTCCGGAATCCTGGCAGAAGGTGTAGTTCTACCCTGGTAAAGTCCCAAGCTGGAATTAAGAAGCTCACTTCTGCAATTGGTGTACTACACAGTCTAATAATTGTTGCTAGCACTCGAGTCTTAAATAATGTAATGAGGTTCTGATACCTGGATAAACCCTCAACTTGGTACACGTAACAACGATACGAAGATGGGTGGTATAACACACTCTAGAGAAAGAGTTAAAGATATTTAGGTTTGCTTATTAGTGTTTTTATTTCTCCTTAATTGTTTAAGGCACAAAATGACTGTCATACACAGAAGGGGATACATGACCTTAAGCTGCCTGTGACACCCCCAAAATGACTAAACAGTGCAAAAAAATATTATAAACAAAATAAAATGACATACAAAAATATAAACAAATAACAGATTATTCAGACAATATTCAGTTAATACTCCTGCTGTATGCTGGTTTATAGTATCACAAAGGAGTGGTACAGCAATACTTTTATCAATTTATTTCTACATTTCATTGTAGAGGTCCCAAGAGTTTGATCCCAACTTGTAAAAGGCAGTTCTAGTATATATTAAAGTCTTCTAGACATAAGTAGATTCGTAGTTGCTGCCTGAGGTGAATAATCTCCACATCAATATATGTTGCAGTAGTACAGTAGTATATCACTTTTCCATTACTTTATCCCTCAGTGTAAAAAGGGAAAAAGAAATATAATAGACAAATTTGGCCAAATGATCACAATATACAGTTGCAAGAAAAAGTATGTGAACCCTTTGGAATGATATGGATTTCTACACAAATTGGTCATAAAATGTAATCTGATCATCATCTAAGTCACAACAATAGACAATCACAGTCTGCTTAAACTAATAACACACAAAGAATGAAATGTTGCCATGTTTTTATTGAACACCCCATGTAAAGTTTGGAGAGTTTATTCAAATATGACATTTGGCCAGTTATACATCTGTTGGGTCCCACCCATTTGCAGGAACCAGGGCTTGTATGCTGGAAATTTCTCAACTCTTCAGTGGCTCTGTTTATTGTCTGAACAGTAGGATTCCTGGGCTGTGTGCTCGAGACTGTGCGTCCCTTCTATGACCCTGAGGAGAATCCAAGATGGCTTCTATTTATAATGATATCGACAGCATGCAAACAGTAGCTCAATTGCTTTATTACACTACAACATCGACTAATTTTATTAAACTTACATATAATTCTGAATGAATGAGTTTTTATTGCTACGTGGCTAAATAGCTTTTTTGGGGTTGAGTACATAGAACTGCTCTATGAACACATGGGAAGGCCTATCACTATGCTGGGTAAAGGCACAAGATAGGGGAAAGAAAGAACTCAATAAAGAAAAATTGTTCTGAAATAAAAACAAATAAATAAACAGCTGAAATAAGACACAAATAAAACAGAATAAGCAAGATATATTAACTAAGTCCTCAATGAATACTATCCTAACAACCTACTTTTCTACCCTACCGTTACCTTTTGTGTCACTATACCCCACTCCCTCTAGCATGTAAGCTCACTGAGCAGGGCCCTCAATCCCTCTGTTCCTGTGCGTCCAACTTGTCTGGTTACAAATACGTGTCTGTTAGTTCACCCATTGTACAGTGCTACGGAACTTATTGGCACTTTATAAATAATAATAATTAAAATATAATTTTAAAAAAAATTCAAAATAAAATTAGTGTAGATTCGATTAGCTGTATTAGTCCAGTAGACAAGATGCCAAAATACCAGAGTATTGCAGTATGCAATGAAATCTTTTTTGTTGGACTAACATAATATTATGTATTATGTTAGTCCAATAAAAAAGGTATCATTGCATACTTCAATACTCTGGTATTTTGGCAAAATGAAAATATATATACAAGGTCTGTCCGGAAAGTATCCAGCCATGTAAAATGAAAAATATAGACATTTATTGAAAAAGATACAAGAACAAATTATAATTCTATAAGGAGAAAGCATCCATGGTATACATATGTTAAGAAACCGTGGAGAGTCCAGGGTTGCGGACCAAACTTGGTCAAATACTGCATGTAGAAGTGCAGAGGATCAAGAGGTTAGTGGATCAAATAGTGATCAGGGCAAGGCTCTAAAAGATTTAGGAAAAAAGATTAACCATAATGTACTATTCTGTATAGTGTACTGTTGCCAAAGAGTGGTCCACTGAAGGGCAACAAAGACCCTCCGTGAACTTCCTTGTTTTAGGGAGTTCCCTTCCCATTTGCAAAAGTAGAAAACGCAAGGTATTGCAAATGGGGTATATTAAGTCTTTTTTAGTAGCCACGTAGTCACAAACACTGGCCAAAAATAGCGTTCAATTTAGGTTTTTTTGCATTTTTCACACACAAACAAATATGAACGCTAACTTTGGCCAGTGTTTGTGACTAAGTGGCTTCTAAAAAAGACTGAACATACCACATTTGCAATACCTTGGGTTGTCTTCTTTTGCAAATGATATGCCATCATGGGGGTAATTCTCATTCCTGGACTACCATACGCTCTGAAAGGCAACATAACCAACCCGGCAAATTTCATTGTAAAAAAATTAGACCTTTATATTTCACCATGTAACTTTCAAAACCCTATAAAACCTGTACATGGGGGGTACTGTTATACTTGAGAGACTTTGCTGAATACAAATATTATATAATCAGTGTAAGTGCTATTTGTGTGTGAAAAATTCAAAAAAACTTCACTTTCACTGACAATATCATCGCTATGATATGTTTTACTGTTTTGAAACACTAATATTTGTGTTCAGCGAAGTCTCCAGAGTAAAACAGTAACCCCCGTGTACAGTGTTTATGGTGTCATAGAAAGTTACAAGGTTAAATACATTGCTAGCAAATTAAATTCCCTGGACTTTCGGCGTGGGTTGTCCGGCAGGTCCCTCAAATTGCAATCAGTAAAATTACTTAATTATGTAAAAATATTACATAAATATGCATGTAGAATTTAAATATATATATGTATATATTTGAAGTCTATGTGTATATTTATGAATTTATTTATAGAATTTTGTATATGGATATATATATAATTCCATACTAATTGTATTTTGATATAAAAATATATTAATATCAAAATACAGTTAGAATAAAATTACATTCAATATATAACTTATTTATTTTTGACATTTTTATTTATTTTTATTTACGTACTTATTCATATTTTATAAAATATATATATGTGTGTGTGTGTGTGTGTGTGTAATTGAATTATAAGTGTATTTTTATATTAATATAAAAATACACTTAGTATGACATTATATATCATATATATATGTATGTACACATATATATTTTATATTTTGATTTAATTAAAAAATTTTATTTTATTTTACAGATGCAGGGAGACTGCCTGTCAGTTCAGGCAGTCCTCCTGCAGGCAGATACACAGGGACCTATTGCGGCCATGTGACCGCTCTGTTAGGGGGCCTAATTTGCAGAGGGGGGACTGTCTGGACTGTCAGGCAGTCCCCCCAGACCGGGAGAACGACGGCGATCAGGGGAGTAACTATTACCGTTATGACGGTTCAGGACCGTCATCGGTCCTCAAGGAGATGTTTCTGATGATCGACCTGAACCGTCAGCGGTCCTCAAGGGATTAAAGAATATTTTCCATTTCTAACAAATGGTCAGTTTGTAAAATTTCTTAAAGACAAAGTACACAGTTTAAGAAATGCTTTTCGTTCTAAAAACTTGTAATATTTGCATGTGTCCATAACTGCGTTGGGAGGCTATTGCGCATGACAAAATGCTGCACCAATCAGCATCTCCTCATAGAGATGCGTTGAATCAGAGCCTCCATGCAGAGTGTGGAGACACTGAATGCAGGTGCTGCAACTAGGAATCATATCTAGTGTCCGTCACTAGAGGTTTTACTAGGCACCAATGCAAACACTGCTTTTACATTAAAGGACCACTATAGTGCCAGGAAAACATACTCGTTTTCCTGGCACTATAGGGTCTCTAGGTCTCCCCCACCCTCAGGGCCCCCCTCCCGCCGGGCTCTAGGGCTCTGGAAGGGGTTAAATCTTACCTTTTTTTCCCCACTGGGCTCCCTCGGCGGTGGGGACTTTCCTCCTTCTTTCCCTGTCATCGGCTGAATGCGCATGCGCGGCATAAGCCAGTCCATAGGAAAGTATTCTCAATGCTTTCCTATGGACGCTGGCGTCTTCTCACTGTGAAAATCACAGTGAGAATCGCTGAAGCGCCTCTAGCGGCTGTCAATGAGGCAGCCACTAGAGGCTGGAGGCAGCCACTAGAGGCTGGATTAACCCTAATGTAAACATAGCAGTTTCTCTGAAACTGCTATGTTTACAGCAGAAAGGTTTAATTCTAGATGGACCTGGCACCCAGACCACTTCATTAAGCTGAAGTGGTCTGGGTGCCTATACTGGTCCTTTAAAAAGTCTACAGGGACAGGCTATAGACACCAGAACCACTACATTATGCTGTAGTGCTTCTGGTGACTATAGTGTCATTTTAGGAATTGTATTTTTGTAGTTGAAAATGAAACTTTGTTAGTTTAAAAAAAAAACAAAAAAAAAAACCGGCTCATAATGTTTTTTTTTAGTTTTTTTTTTTAGCTTGCTCCCAGATTTCAAGCAAATTTGTCAAGTCCTGGGGTAAAATATAACTTTTAGGTGAATAAAAGACTGAGAGTGACCAAAAGAAGGGCACGGGCCCCACTCAGCAGAGACATTTGGTCCAAGTTAAAATATATACAGTGTTAAATGTGACTTTTAAGTTAACACATCAGTGTGCCATTCTACCTCTATAGTGGGGAATAGGTTCCAATCCACTGTTTCATAGCACATCTCAAACCATAAATCTTTTAAAACCAGAATCAGCTACTTTTATTTTTCTTTCTTTTTTCCCTTTGATGGTGTGGAGGGTTTTGTCCATACTGTGGTTTGAGCAGTAATCTGCTGCCTGGTTAGAACAAACGTATACTGTCCGTGCAGTAATCTGATTAATTATTCCTGTGTTTTATGCACCGTATGACTGTTAACCAGTAATAGTTATTTTACTATTTCACTGTTTATAGCCCTTTTGTCCCTTAAAAGAATCAAGTGCTGTAATTTCTAATTGCTGGGGGAAAAAATCAATATGCTTACAGGCTCTTATGCTCAAACAGAAGATTGTGCATCGCAATAAAACCAAATTCTGTATATATTCATTAGAAGGGAGGTCATCCAGCTAGTTTATTTTACAGACAAGTCTTTACTGTTTCATTGTAAAGAGGTGACAAAAGACAAACACCAGTGTGCTAAGAGTATGTAAGACCAATATGGATTTGCAGTGACTTAGATTATGTTCAAGTGGAAAATAGTTTTTTTTATTTTTATGGGCTGCAAGTTCCTGCAACGCTAAGCTCTTACGCTGTGTGGCAACCGTTGTCAGATTTAATTAGCAGGAGTGAAGCAGTGTCACTGCTTCCTTCTCTATACCATTTATAATACTGCAGATCGAGGGGCTAGTGACCCCCAACAAGCTAAGACTACGGAATGAGATTTTACTTAGGCTTGTCCTCGAAGTAATCAAATGGGTATTGCTATCGTTTTGCTGTAAAGGAATCTACTTCAGCTGAATCATATTACGAGTTGATGGAATAATGACATCACATCCTTCTGAGTCACTGCGACAGTACAATTCCGTGTGCAATTCATAAAATCCATATAAGACGTGCAGTGTGCGGTTTTTACATGAGATAGGATGGCATTGGATCACAGTACGCTTGGAAAGGAAGAGCTGTGTTGCACAAACATGCTGCAGTAGAAGAAAACCAGAATACATTATTTTATT